AGAGCTTAAAACAGGGTCAGCAGTTTATTTTTCAATGTTGGAGGATGTGAGAGCACTTTACAAGATAATTGAATCGAATGTGGACTGTGGCGGGAGGTAAAAGGTACACAAGCGGACACACAGATGCTCTTTATTAATAAAACAGGGGGTGAAAAATTGCTCTGGAAAATTGGAGGTGAGAGTGAAAAAAATTATTTTGAATTGGATGTCACTTCCCACCCAATTGGATGTCGCAAATTTTGGGACACTGTTCGACCCTCGCTGTAAATATGTTTTGAACACAGCACATGAATTGCTAGCTGTATTACTGAGAAAACTGGCTGACGCACATTGTATTGGAGATATCAATATTTTCCAATTAAGTTTTCAGCACTGATGATGTACCAACTACCATTATGTAAAATGTTGTGCGCTATGTATTTATTAGTTCAGTTATAATTCCTGACAAGTCGTCTATAGGTACCTAGTACCTACCTACCTGTGTAGTTGTAAATATATGCAAATACAAGCTGAGAGTCTGGGAAATAGGAGCCAGGTAGAAATAACTTTGATAAGAGTTGATTGTCTGTTTAATCAATGTGCACCAACCAGTTTTCTCAGTAATTCAGCTAGCATTTCTCATGCTGTGTTCAAAGAGACATGCCTACAGTGAGGGTCGACCTTAAAAAAAAATTAGGCATGTGTAGGTGCCATGTTGCTTGACTAGGTAAGCACAGACGGAGTGTCCCAATTTGGCTTAAGTAGCGACATCACACAAAGGTCTTTCAACCAAGGAGAGGGCTGGGTATATGTGTAGATAAAGTACAGCTGGTGAGTTGGTAGCATTTGGTATGTTGTGGTATTTAGTTTGGTAGGTTCAAGGTTGTAGTTCAGTAGGTAAGGTTAGGCCATGTTAAATTATGTTTTTTATGTTCACCGTCACCATATGCGCACTTCATCTGCACAATATTTACCAGACGCTGTATGTTTGTAGGTTGTAGGGTAGGTTGTAGGTCAGGTTAGTTTGTGTTTTGGTTTAGTTTGAAAGAAGCATCTCTGAGTATAGCGCCTCTCCATGGTTGGAAAACCTTCATGTGATATCTGCTTTACTCATAACCCAGCTTCTTATGTTCCTCTGAACTGACGTAAGTCCTTCCTACAAGTTTGAATGTCATGGGTATTTTCTCAGAGAATTTGTTTTTACTTTCCCCTGGAGTTGGTACAATATGTCATGACAAGAAGCTGAGGAAGCCCCAGGCCCAATCAAGATCAAGGCGGCGTTTCACCGACGCTGCCAGCAGGCTGCTAGCACATCTTGCGACTGAAATATACACATGCATTCACAGCCTGTATCTGTAAGAATCCTGTCCACAGCAGTGCGTAAGGAATCGAAATGCTCTGTTCGCCCCCCCCCCCCCATTTATTTATCAGCAGGCTGCGAGCATGCTGCTACTTATTGGCTCCTCATTGGTCGAATTCAAGTGGTCTATTCGTTAGACCAATGAGAGGCCATGGATTCCCTAACACTAGCGCCGGCGACCAAGCTGCCGCCCTGGTGACGGAGCGCCGAAACATCGGTGGTGAGTGCACCGGCGGAAGCCGCACCGGCGTGCGTGCTGAAAACGAGGTAATGGAGAGCGAAATTAGCGAGCTTTAGCGAGTCCTGGTCTACAATTATGGCGCATTTTGACTTTCACTAATGTAGCCCGCTTTATAGTTCGAATATGTGGCGAATCAAGGTTCGAATGCAAAGAAAATAACCTTTTCATAACCTTTAATTCAATCTTTTTAGAATGAAAACAGCTTCCATTTTGAAGAGTGAAGGCGTGAAATATTACCATTCCCCTTGTGTCAATGTCATCAATCATCAGAAATCTCGGCATTCTTATAGCAGGCGTCTCACATGCTGCCACCCGTTTATGAAAAGTCTCTAGACTCTCCATTTCTTGAGATAATTTACACGAATTTCTCGCCTCCAGAAAATCTTTCATAATCTCCTATTTGGGCCTGGGTATCGGTAACCCTGGCGTCACCGGTAGTGTTTTCGTTCAAGGGTGCCAGGCTGAAGCATGCTGTGACGTCACTGGGTAAGAGAAGATAACTTACCACGCTATCAGTATCGACTGAGACTCAGATACTCAGACCGACTCAGGCAGACTCAAACTGACTCGACTGACTCAAACCGATTCAGAAGGAGATGAACTCGATGGTTTTTGGAGCCTCACAAAACATGTTTCAGATATGACGCGTCACACAAACTGACGCATAAAGAATGTGTTCAATCCTATGTCCGCAAGCACTTGTTGACAAATGAAAAGCGTACGTACTGCTCCGTCGCCATAGCAACAAGTAAGCGTCGCAAATTTCGAACACTAACCGTGTGCGCCGAGTTCGACTACAGCAAGGATGATGGGTGATGGCTGCCAGCTGATTAAATTAATGAAAAGCGATTAAATTTAACTTTTATTTGAGATTGTAAGTAAATATGTGTTTGTTTATTTCAAATATCATTTAATTAGTTTTTGTAAATGAATTAACTACAAACGTCTCAGCAAGAAGTGTTTGCAAAATAAATCAAGGCTCATGAAAATCGTAAGCGGGGTTGGGAAAAGGATCACGTGACTACCCCGTGACTAGGGTCCCAACCTTATCTGTAAGAATCTTGGCCAGGGTTACCGATACCTGGGCCGGTTCCAGCGCTTCCAGTAGAAATTCTTAACTGGAGGATCGAAATTTTACTGGAGGCACAGGAATGCAATCTGGATATTTCTTGAGATTGGTGAGGTGGTGCTGGAGACTGGAGTGGAGTAGTAAAGTACCTAATCTTGCTGGAGCTGGCTTGGCTCTTGTGTAGTCAAGAAGCAAGTGTAATTCTGTTTGCATTTTGATTTGTTCTACTGTAATGTGTTCTGCGTGCTGTTATCTTGGCTGTTATGCTATATACTTGCTATATGCTATATAACAGGTAAGAATACCAGGTAAGAATGCACATTCAACTTTTGGCTAGACTGCAGTGCAAGGCATGATGATCTGCACGTTTTTTTTTTTTGTAAAATTTGGAGTACAAATTAGAAGATTAGCCTTAAAAATAAAATTATTTGAATGTCATTTCCCACCCAAATAAACATATTTTGGAACGATAGCTCTCCATCAATCGGGTGCAGTGAAAATCTGTAGTGCAGAATTTGCATGGAGTGGTGCTGGATCATATATTGGTAACTGTCGCAATTTTAAGATACCTGGGCCCTGTTTAACGGCGGAGCGCTGCAGTACGCTGCGCGCGTCAGCGCGTTGGGTTTCCATGGCAATATCAACAAACTTCCCTCTGATGCTATGCTATGACGTCATCGCAAAACGCTGGCACCCAAGCGCCAGCACCATCAGCACGCTAGCAGCATTCGCACTCAAACCTCTGTTCTCTCTATACTTGGTTCTTAAGGACCTCTGTTCAAAACACGATTCATCATAAGCTAACAGATCGCACGCAACGTCATTCAAGTGACGTCAGGGGTATGCCTCAGCTCCCAGCGCACTGCAGCGCGCGCAGTGTCAGGCGGTGAAACAGGGCCCAAATTACTGCTTTCAAATGTCATAGGAAAAGTGGAGGCCTCCAAAAATAAAGGCCTCCAAAAATAAGCAAAGATAAAATTGTAGTAGGTACCTACCTACTAATCTAAAAAAAAAAAGTTAGGTAGGTAATACTTTTTCAGCACAATTTGGCTTTCATTTTCATTTGTACTGAAACATGGTACATAATTCATTGTACCATGATTCATTAATTTTTTGAAGGTTGGAGGGCATAGATAGCGGAACAGGGGGACACCAGGGCACCATGCCCCCCTTTGATTCTGACATTTTAACATTACCCCTATGGGCATTGCATGGAAAGAATGGGACCAAAAGTCGGAAGTGAGTGCCCCCCTGAAGGTGTCCCGCTGCCACTGTGGGAGGCCGGAGGGTCCCTTTAGTTGCAGTTTTAGCTAACCACAAGTGCATATTTGTAAGACGAATCAAGTAGTAAATAATTTTATTTAAAAAGGCAAGTGCAAATAAGCTGACCGGTTTCTAGCCAGGTTGGTGCAGGCTTGGGCTGGTGTGGATTTTTCACCCCTGCTGGTGTGTCTCGTCAACCCTGTTCCTATATACTTTGCAGCCTAGCCTTGAGCTAATGATGTTGGGCAGTTGAAATATTTAGGTTGACGGCTACAGCATCCATGGTTTTATTGCCTCATGAATGACTAGGAATGGTTTCAAAGTTGCCATGAAAAAAATGAAAAGGATGAATCACATACACCTACATCAACATGATCAATTTAAACTGAAAATTAAAAGGCTCCCAGTCCCATGCACCTACTGTAAAACTCACAAACTCACACATGTAGCCACCAATGGTTGCAATGGAATCAATTCTGATAGCTGGAATGATAATTGGGATCAGGACTGCTTTTCATCCAATAACGCCACACAAAATGATCATAAGCTAACAGATCGCACGCAACGTCATTCAAGTGACGTCAGGGGTATGCCTCAGCTCCCAGCGCACTGCAGCGCGCGCAGTGTCAGGCGGTGAAACAGGGCCCAAATTACTGCTTTCAAATGTCATAGGAAAAGTGGAGGCCTCCAAAAATAAAGGCCTCCAAAAATAAGCAAAGATAAAATTGTAGTAGGTACCTACCTACTAATCTAAAAAAAAAAACAGTTAGGTAGGTAATACTTTTTCAGCACAATTTGGCTTTCATTTTCATTTGTACTGAAACATGGTACATAATTCATTGTACCATGATTCATTAATTTTTTGAAGGTTGGAGGGCATAGATAGCGGAACAGGGGGACACCAGGGCACCATGCCCCCCTTTGATTCTGACATTTTAACATTACCCCTATGGGCATTGCATGGAAAGAATGGAAAGGAATATTGCATGGAAAGAATAATCAGCATTATTTAGTAATGCTTGACAGATATAAAGTATCGTTTATGTTATTTCTAAGAATAATTTGGAGCAAATATCATTTGTACTCACCATCAAGACGTGAAGACACAGCCCACAGCCTCACCCGGCACCCGATGGCCGATCGCACAAAATGGCGACTGCGGCCCACGCTGGCACAAGCGACGCTGCAATTTGGCGCGAAACAGAACAAAGTAAATTAACACTCCAGTGTTAAATATTTCTCAATGCCGGCGCTCAAGTAACATTAATCTGGTTTTGAAACTCGACGCAGCGGAGTAACACACGCTAACGAGTTTTTCAACACGGTATAACTGTGCGCAAACATGCTTCCATAAAACCCCGTCAAGTGTTTCGGTACACAGTGTCCGGCAATTGCGGGATGAATACATGCCCATTACTCAAACAGGGTTATTGTGCATGGGGATTCCGAGCTACTTCATCCTGAGTTGGACTGACCATGTTCTACTACGCCATATGGTTTAAATGACTCGACAAATAGGGATTCATTGGCATAGCTAGATGTTTTAGCACATCAGTAAAGTGAGTCAGTAAACTCAAACTTTGCTAACATTTTTTACAGTGTAGCGACACGCGGTAAGCGGTATTCGAAAGAGTGTCAAAAACTGCTTGGGTTAGTTGGTTAACCGTGCTTTGGTTAGGGCAAGTCAAATGTCAAATATCAGGTGACCAGAGGTCATCAAAGGTGAAATGTGGGTGAAATGTTGTCTGTTTCAACATTTATTGACAAACTGGCGCATAACTCGGGGAAGAATAGAACTACAGCACCGCGAAAAAGCGCATTCGATAGCTCTTCAACGTTCCTATGAAGTCTTCAGACTTGACCTAACATCAACGGCTTAGCCTACAGAGCACAACTTGTTTAACCCGTGCCGGGCCGGGGAGGGTTGGAGGGGACAGTGGACCCCCTGCGCCCCTCTACTGAGCTGTTTTAATGAAGAACCTTTTACTGTAATAATTATTGACTCACGAAAGTTATGACATTGTTTTTTTCAGTACTGTGCTCCTCTCGTCGAGATGCGTCGAATGAACTATAATTTGACATTCAAACGTCATTTGGGAAATTTGAGCTCAGGTCCAGGTCATGACCTGGCTGGTAAAGGTCATGTTGCATATCAGTCGATTTGTATCGTCAAACTGAAATCATCTATGTAAGATGTTTTCATCGCTCAGGCATGTCGCATGTCTCTATCAGAAGTTATTGGAAAAACTGCTGGAGGCCTACCATGACCTGACATGACCTCAAGGACATAACGAGGGGTCGTGGGTGGCAATTTTCCGATTAAGTGTGTCATTTTTAATTGTTTTCTGATGTTTAAATTCGTTAATTTTGACATTTGTCTACCTATAAAAAGAGGCACATGCCCTGATTTTCTCCCATTTCCTTTTACCTAATGGAAGGGTCGCAAAATTGTCCTTACATTTGGTCAGAGACATCGCAATTTCGAGACTTACATTTAACCCTCGCCGGTTGATGCAACCCCCCTAAGGTTTATCGCGAATAACTCGCGTAAAAAGCGGCCGATCGCAACGAAACTTTCAGTACCCTCGAATTGATCAATTTTACACCTACCCTGCAAATTGATGACCCTGACTTCAATGACCTTTCACCTGTGACCTCTTTTCCGTGACCATGTTTGGCCGAAATCAAGATTCGGCGTATGTCGGCTCGCATTAACCGCGCGTTTGCAAGCTTTTCGTGGTTTCAAACGTTCAAACATGTGATTTGATGTTGCTCCCATGCATTAGGGTGGGTGTCAAGGTCACCTGAAGGTCAGGTCAGGTCATTGACCTTTGGTGACCTCGGTTCACTTTTTCGAGTTTTACATGTTCTAGGCTAGTTTTGGAGCTGAATTCGAATTTTAGCAACCATTTAAATATTTCCG